AATGTTCACATCAGAAAGGCTGCCATCACCTTCAGCAGACTAATTAAAAGAGCATGGCACAATTCAAAGCTTACCATCAAGACCAAAATGCTAATGTACAAAGCTTGCGTACTCAGTACTCGCGTATGGTGAAGAAACATGAACAATTTATGCACATCAAGAGAAAAGGTTAAACAGCTTCCAGCTGCGCTGTTTACGCTGCATACTCAACATCAAATGGCAAGATAAAGTTACCAACGTAGAGGTTCTTCAAAGGACAGATTTGCCAAGCGTGCCAGCCCTACTCAAACACAGATGACTGTGATGGCTGGGCCATATGAGCAGATTGGAAGATGGACGTATACCCAAGGACATGCTCTACAGGAAACTATCGGAGGGAACAAGAAAAACGGGATGTCCCAAGCTTTGCTACAAAGACGCATGCAAGCAAGATATGGAGGCATTTGGAAATTGGAAACCGTGGCAAGCGACTGGAACAAGTGACATCACCGTCTCCACCAGGGCATTAAAGTCCACAACAGAAATTGGCTTCAACAGCTTGAAGAGAAAAGAGTCCGCAAGAAGCAAGCAGCTCCTGAACCACCCAATCATGGCATGTACGCTTGCAGCCACTACCACAGATCATGCAAATCTTGGATCGGACTATTCACTCACGTGAGACGCTGCAAACCATCTACGCCATAGGCTGCAATATCCACCATCTCTCGCAGACGAAAGGATGCCAGTCGTGTGTTGATTTTTTTTGTCATTCAAGCCAGTGAGGTATTTCTGACTCTTATGTACTTCCTAGCTTCTTTTTAAAAACTGTGGACTTGTTTAGAATAGGCTGTGAGCTGTATGTAAAGTCACTTTTTAAGTTTGTGAATACTAAGTGCTAAGGCACAGCATAACTGTTTGGCTTAGCTTTGCTTTATATTCTCTTCAACTGTGTAAGAAATTTGAAAATAGGATTATATTTAGGAATTACAAAAGTCAATAGTCTGAAGCCAGTTCAGCAGTTACCTGTATGGATATCCTTTCTAAGAAGTCCTTTCTGCAGACAGGATGATAGTTGTAATGCAACTTCACTGTTAATTAGTTCCTTGATCTTTTTGAGTTAAGGAACTAATTAACAGTCATATTTTTGAGTCACATTTCCTAGTTCAAGTAAACGAAATCAGTTATGGTTCTCTAAAATCATATTGTTTGTCTGTCCCTGCCTTTTGTTTCTGCTCTGAAAGAGAGGTATTACACAAAACACCTCGCTATTTCTCATTGCTCCAGTTTTGTGCATGTTACTTTACCTTTGTTTCACTTCCAGGTACGGAGAGGTGCCATTGGGGCCCAGTGTGGGCTGGTGTTTTCCTATAGTAGCTCCTCAGAAAAATTTAATGCAGAGGAACATTTTAAAAGATTTGAGAGATATGACAAGTGGAAGCTACAAGAATTCAGGCAGTTTTTAAAAAACAGGTAAAGATGCAATGAATAACTTAAAATATTAATATACAAACCTCTACTATCTTATGTCACTTAGTGAGAGAGAGGCAGCCTTTAATTTTGCTGTTGTTAGGGATAAAGTAGTGTGACATGAAGTCACTAAGCTCTGTACAGCTGAAGCTCTGCATTTCAGCTTTGAAAATAATGCCTCATTTAATAAGTGGTTCCATTTGACTGAAAACTTTACTTGACATTGTGAGGCAAGATTTTTATTGTGCAAGCTGATTCCTAATAGCTTTCTCAATCCCTCTTTGTGCAAGCATTCTGTAAAGGGTGCTGTAAAATAACTTAATTGACTTTTAAAAACATCTCCAAGACTTGCACATGCAGCATGTTTGCATGTCTGTCCATCTGCTATATTCTCCTAGCAAGTGAAAACAGTTGGATGATGTCGCGGCTCTACTGCAATCCTCAAATTTTAACGCAAAATTGTAACAAAAAATTGATATGCTTTTATCTGCAGAAGCACTTCTTCATGTGATGAGTTGGGAGAAGATGATCCTGTTGGCTGGTTTGAGGCAGAAGAAGAATGGGATGAAGTGGATGTCAGAATGCAACAGTGCAGAGTTTCCCAAGTAAGAAACAATGAAAATGGACTGACCCAGGCATGAATGTGCAGTCTTGCCTCTTTTTTGAAATGCCAGTTAAATAAACACCAGCTTTTTTTTGATTAAGAAGGAACCTAATTAAGAGTCCAAAGGAGAGAAACAAAGAAATATGAGAGACCTAGAGAACAGGGTATGGAAAAAGGTTGGAAAAGCTGGGATTATTTGGTCGGGAGGAAAGATGACTCAGGCGGACATTTGTTAATGACCTTCGGAGACCAAAACAGTTGTTATGAAGAGGACCATGTAGGGACAAGAAGTAGTGGGCTTAAAGTGCAACAGGGGACAGTTAGGTTGGTGTTAGAAAGAACTAGCTAGAGAGGTTGTGGAATCTCCCTCGTTGGAAGTTTGTAAGTGCAGGTTAGATAAATATTGGTATGGGATGGCTTAGACAGGGATGCTCCTTCCAGGAACAGAGGGTAGGAATAGATAACTCTGAGGTCCCATCCAACCCTGTTTTTCTATGAGAGTAAAAATCAGTTACAAAATGAGGTAAATTGGTAGTGAAATCATTGTGCAGATGCACATGGTAGTCGCTGAACCCTAGTGTGTCCCTCATGTAGTATCTTCATAATTCCTGCTTTCCTAGAAATGAGAATGTAATCCAGGAAGGTAAGGTTTGCTTGAATAGCATTACAGTTTTATACTCAAATAAGTGATAGTGCTACTAACTGAGGCTGCCACTAAATGTCAAAACCCTTTGTTATATAGTTAATAACCGTACTGGTGGTTTGTAATGCTAATATAATAAAAGATCAGATAAACATTAGCCTTTAAGAGTGAAGTAATGTTGCATGAGCAAACTAAAAATAGGAAGATCCTTATATCTTGAGTGTGTTGTATTTTTAAACTGGGATATACACTGACTGACTTTTTCAAAGTGACTGACTTTTTTGTGTTTTTTTTTTTTTGGTCTCTGTCCAGTATTTAATGGTGAAGTTCTTGTGCACGAGACAAGATACAGCAGAGCGGCTTGGAGTTCAAGGCCTGAACATTCTTGGGTATCTTCGGGCTGCAGGAGGGGAGCCCAGCAGAAGCATGAACTGTCTGAAATGCAAAAAACCCGATAACGATGCCATTTGTGGAACAGCTCTTCTCTTGAAGACGCTTTATTTCATCCAACAACTTGCCCAGGACCTGGTATGTTTCCCTCGCTGTTGGTCAACTGCTTTAAAGCACATGGTGACCATGCTGCAAGCCTACTTTATGATTCACAAAGGACAGGCTAAAAACACAACTAAAATAATATAGTGCTTAAGAAAATGAGTAAAGTGCGTGGTAATAAAGTCACGAAACTCAGTGCATTTGGAAAGCAAGAATTTGTATACCACACTACAGTGCTCGGGTAAGCCAGGAATATGACTCGGGACCTACCTATATGGTTGTGAGACAAAGGGATTTTTGCAGGCTGCTCACAGTACACAGACCCAATTTTGCACTCTTTGCACCAAGCCCTGCCCCACCACAGATTGACTGAGGGGCTCCAGCAGCCCTGCTCCTTGCTGCTGATTGGCCAAAAGGCAAAAACCACGACATAATTAAATAGCAGAGTCCATGGAAATATAAAATAAATTACTGCATTATTATAAATCTAAGTATTGCATTCAAATCTAGATTGAAATATATTATAAATGTATCATAATATGAATTGTAAATAATATCATCATTATTTGTTATTAACATTCTACAAAAAGTTTAGTAATGCTAAATAATGTTTAACCTCTAAAAAGAAACAATTTGTGTTAGCTGTTAAACACTAGTATTCAGCATCCACCAGGAGTTGCAGCTGACATCCTCTGTCTCTGAGGTGTGAACGCTTGTCTGCGCACTGAGATTACACGTTCCGTGTCCACTTAATTGGTTGGAACGGTAAGGCAGCGTTTTGCCAAGTTGTAGAGAGATGGAAACTCATCAGAAACAGACTCCCAAAACACAGTCACAGTCAAAGGCACCTGACACTGTTCGGCAAAGTTTGTGTAAGCAGCACATTCCTTGTCACGCTCTTTCTGCCATCCAGAGATTGATTTCAGTAGCTGAGGGTCATGACTCAGAGAAGGCACCTGATTGGGGTAAAAATGCTAACAGCATTAGAAAAGGAGGCGCTCAGTTGTTTAAACTGTGATGTTAGTGAGTGATTGTATTCATAGTACTGATTCAACTTCACAGCTGTTGCCTGGAACGGTGCTTGTCTCTGCTGATTTTCATGTTAACGGTTTGAAAGTTGTTGTGATGCCATGTCTTCAGTCCAGCTTATCAGATTCATCAGCCTGTTGTGTGCTTAGTGGAATAAAGCCTAATGACTTTCAAACCACATTAGAAACTCTGTGAACTAGATTGCATTTTCAGCCACAAACGTAACATGATCCTCAGTGTCGCCCTGTCTTAAGAGACTACATAGTTTAAGCATGCACTGTGCGCCAGATTTGATTTCAAGCTCCTCATACACAAATTGCTGGTTGTATTTCATATTCTTTCTTCTCAAAATGTGTTAAACCAGAAAATCCATCTTGTAAGCACTGGCTGTGGTGGAAGTGACACTGTTGCACGTAGATCCTTGCTTTAATCGGTGATGGACTCCTTGTATGGAAGCTTATGGCCTGGACAATGTTTGAATCCGTGTCTTCCTTTGAAAGAGAGAGTGTCTTCCTTAAAAAGAGGAAACCAGGCTATCCACATCAGGAAAACGTGTGCATCAGATGTCACTTGGTGAAGAAATTATGTGTGCATTGCAAGTGACATAATTTGCATTGGGCATCATTTCATGGAGCACACGTGCTAAAGCTTTGCATACATTGCATTATCAAAGCAGTGCTGAAATTTTGTTAAATTCTAATCCATAGTTTACCGCTTGTAGAAAAATTAAGAAGCGAGGTGATCTGCTTGTTTTTCAAACAGAGCTGGATCATGGTCTGTCAGTTCCCAGGTACAAATAAAATGTGCAGATCTGGTATCACGGGCATCTATTGCTTCATCTGCTGCAATCAAGACTGATTCATATTCTGCCAATGCGGATTTTGTAGCCTGGACTTGCAAAGCAATGACTCCTGGAAAGTCATTGTGACGAAGTTTGTTCACATGTGGGAAGCTGCTAGCATTTGTCACACGTTTGTTCAAGTAGTCCCTTAATTTAACGTTATCAATTTTCTCCAGGGGAATGTTGGCAGCCATGAATGCCTCCAGTAGTGTGAATGTAGCCTCTCTTCTCGTCAAACAGCTTTCAGTGGTTCTTTTAAGGAATGAGGACATAGTTGCTTGTGTCTTGCTCTGACCTTTAGCCTCTGCAACAGCCTTTCACTTTATATGCAGTTTGGATTGTAAGTGCTGAACAATGCTGTTTTTCCTCAATACATCCAGTGTAACATTGCACAGCTAACAAAACAATTTACCATCATCTGTATGCAAGGTTCCTACAGGGAACTGCCTTACATGATCCTGAGCTGAAACATATTTAGCTTTCTTGGATTTCTTTTCACTCATCTTCAGACTGCAGCATTACTGCAATGTTGCATCTGGCTTCTTAAAAGATGATACTGAAACATTTTCACTTTCCTGACTGGTGCCTTCACTGAGTCTAGATCACTAGCACAGCTTCTCGGTAGCACTCAAACCACAGGCTCTTTGGCTGCAGGGATTGCCATGCTTTCTTTGTATTCTGATAAGCTTTTATTTTTTTTCAGGCAATTCTGTGCAAAATCACAGGAAGTGCCATCGTTTGCGGTGATCGTGGAAACTGCTGTTTTTCAGTTTCTGCAAAAATCACAAAACCACATTTAAGTAGGTCCCTAAATATGACCTCTTTAAGACAACCAGAACAGAAAAGGTCATCCAGGGACAGATAAAGAGTTGCAGTTGCACTTCCCTTTGATTCCTACTCCATCCAAATTTTAAAATCAACTGCCTGGAAGGGGTAGTGACATTTCTATTCAGGTAGTGCATTGAGGGTCAATTGATTTGCTGGCTCCTTACTTTCTCCCTGATTCCTGCTAATCCCTCTCCACTCTACAGGTGTTAAGGATCTTCCAGTCTTTTTAATGGTCCTGTTGTTTGTTTCGCTATTCAAACTATCCTTTCTTCTGCAATTTTGCTGTCTGTTAGCCATTCCTGGTAGAATGACTGGCAGTGGAGTGTTGGAAGCACTGTGGAGATGCTCAAGAAGGCTCGATTTTTGTATGCCGCCGAATAAGAGATGTAAAGTTAACTATAATGACTACAGAACTAATGATATGCTATCCTTTGGCTATTTTTTGCCTAGTTTGTTGAGTTTGTTTAACGTTATTTATACTCTAACAAATCAGTGCACATTCTAATAGTTATCTTTGTTTTTTGCTTTGATCTTAAAGTGAATAATATAGTCTTAGCCCCCTACCATATTGGTCAAAGCTTCTAGTTTCTCTTTTTAACGGGCAAAAAATGTGTTGTGTTATGTGGTGATATACCACGCCATCTGTACCTCACTCTTCAAAATCCCAAATCTGCCCATGAGGCTATCTACACCCGATGGTAAGGTGGTGGGTGGAACAAGTATACCATACTACTATTCCGTTACCTCTTAATGTAGTTGTGTCACTTGAAGCAACCGGTGGGAGTGGAACCAGCTGTACAGTCTAAAAACCCCACTTTTGGGGGTAGTTATATTTGTTTCTCTAATGGAAGTGAAGGTTTAGGGGGACAAAACAAAATGAGGTACAACTGACCTGTGCTAATGGCGCTCTTTTCTCTTGTGGCTGATATTTCAAATGCAAGTGAATGGCTCTTTAATGTTGCATGTATTTACACATTTTAATGATGTTTTGTAAACGTGCTTTTTGTTGAATGAACTCTTAATCCCATATTTTCTTTGCGTTGTAGGTTCAACAGAAAGAGAGTGGATTAAAGTACAGATCATTCTTGGATTTCACAGGACTTGACTTGCAGCTCTTTTGGAATTTTTACAATAAACTACATCAAAAGTAAGTCTGCTTTCATCATATAATTACATACTAATATGTTGTCATGAGTAATGATATCAATGTAATTAAAATAGTGACACTTTTCTACCATTTCAGCCAACGTTGCTGTTATTTTTCCCATTTCTCTGTTTTACCTGGTGGTTTAGTAGTAGTATGTAGATGCTTGTATAATTTACAGGTTACTGATGAGCAAGTATAATGCTTGTTCAACTCTTGTTACTAATTGTCCTCCTTTGAGGTCCTGACTGTGCTTTTTCTTTACTTGGAGGACTTTACCTACTAGAGCAGACACAGTAATTACTTCTAACACAGCAGTATCTGTTGCAGGGTGGGAATTAGTTTTTATCATAACTTTCACTTCTGCTTGTTTTCGTTTTCTTTGTAGCCCCAGGGAAGAATGCATCTATGCTCAGACTCTGCTATTGCAGCTTCTGCAGAGTTGTTTCTCTGTACTTACTGAAGACAATAAAAATATTACATCTCAAGGAGCTTCTCACAGTGAAACATCTGGCTACAAAGAAGCTTCGCAGGAGCTCTATAGGCATCTGTGTAAAGGTAGATTTATACCAAACTGTCACTTACTAACTACTATGAATGTTTTGCTTTTAAAGGGGTGTTACAGTGGACTGAATATGGAAAGACAATTTCCAAAAAAACAAGCTTTCTGGAGGTCAGATTATTGCAGTTTCAGTTGAATTGGTTTAACCTTACTGTCCTTGACACTGGGATGAAGTGATTTTGCAAATGTGCTGATATATAGGCTGAAAGTGACTGTGGTGGCAAAGCATTTCATTGAACCTGCATTCACTTGAATCGGCAAAAAAATCGATCCTTTAACTTCAGTACTGGAATGATCAATTTATACTAAGAATTTCTAATAAATGTATCATTATAACCAGAAGAGCTAGAAAATACAAGGGAAAATCCTGGCCTTTTTGAGGTTATTGTGAGTTTTTGTATAGTTGATTTCCTTGGAGTCAGGATTTCATCATATTTAAGGGCCTAGCAAATGTTGTATAAAATTCGGAAAAATGAGTGATGACTGACTTCATGTTCAGTGTGATGCATATTGAAAGTTTTCTGTGGTTGGGCAGTTGATATTTTGATCTTAAAAGCAAACAATTTGATGCGTTTTCCTGACACATGATCTTTCTTGCTAGAAATCACTTTTGCATACTGTGGGAAGTGGGTTTTTTTTTTTTTTTATGGGCAGTGTTTTGCTTTGCAAAAATATATAATTTCTGATCACTATCGCTGCAAAAATGAAAAAAGTGCATGAAATTAACTGAATTGTACACTGAATATTTACCTGATTATTCCATTCACACTATGAAATTTTGTTTCCTTTTTTCATGAGCAGTAGTGGACGTGAGCAGTAGCAACTCTGTGCCAATGAAAATGTTAAAGCAGGAAGTTCAGAACACATTACTCAAAGGAGCAGCAATCTTTTTCCCAGATAGACAAACCAGACGGGACCAGCTCTTCACCATGATGGTAAGTCATGCAAAGAGAAGAGTGTTCATTCAGTGCCTGCTTTGTTTTGTTAGGATTACTTTCTAAAGTTTCTTTTGCTTACACAGATAAGAAAATAGGTCTCTGTGCTTGTTTATGCACACTGTGCAGGGGTTTGTTTTAAGTAAAAAAACGAAACAAAAACTACATCCACTTATTTTTTCCTCTTTCTAAATCACTTTTCTTTTCTCTGTTGCCAGTTTATTCAAAATAGGAGCTTGTCTTTTTAACAAAAAAAAAATGTAGTTGGAGTGTAGATGCTGTCATGAAACAGTGGTGGTGGTTCTTACATGTTGAGATGTGAGTGATTATAGAAAGATGAAAAAAATGGCATGGCACTGTTTTATATCAACTGAGTTTTTAATGATTCTGGATTAGTTCTACTCAGCTTAGAAATTTAGTCCTTGTACACAATGATCTTAGTTTTACATGTAAGGAGACAGAGGCAAAGGAGGAAGTGATTTTTACCAAAAGTCCAATGTCCAGGTATGGGAACTTCTGAGCACTTTTAAAGAATGTTGTTAAAAGTTTTCCCTAGTCTTGTCATACTTTTTCTCTTAGTGTAACTTGTAGTAATATTGAAAGTGAAATAGTATTTTGCCATTTTTAACTATTGCATATAGGTCTATTTGAGGGATTCTTTGTGGATTAAAGGGAGTACTGGATATATTTGTCTAAAACTAAAAATATAAAACCTAGGGAAAACAACAGACCTTTACAAAATAGATAAATTGGTAGATTCAAGAAGTCATTTTAAGTGGTATTTTTAAAATGAAGAAGGTTTGTTCAGCGGTTGAGAACTTAAGCATCCTGTTTTTTGTGGACTGAATTTTTACAACCATTGAAAATCATTCAGGAAAATGTCCTTTTTATACTGTAAAGGCTGACTGAACTTGTATTGTATTTGTACAGGTACTGTTCCCTCTCTCAGCAAAAGCGTTGGGTTTTTTTTCCCCTGGCAATCATTGTTTTTTATATAGGACTTGTATTTTTTTTCTGTTGCAAAAAGCTTGTTTTAAAAATACATTTTTTTCATGTCCTAGAAAAATATTACAGAACACGAACACACACAATCTGTACAACTTACCTTCAGATCCCTGTGTACCTATTTCAGGTAAGGTGTTTTAATACTGACATAACTTTGATAGTTTATCAAATTGACCTTTTAAAAATAATTCCACATTCCTATGGGAAGAAGACTGGCCAGTTTTGGGGGTTTTTTTTAGATAGGATTGTAAAACACCCAGACTTGCTGACCAAAGACAACTGTAATTCTTTCTAAACTGCTTTCCTTGCAAACAATGGTTATTTATTTAATTGGTTCTGAAGGCACTTCAAAATTATGCATCTTTAAAGTCCTGTTTAATTTTTGCAGTGATAGTGATCAGAAATTATATCTACATATTGTCACTGCAGCATGGCAGCTGTACTTTAGACACCTGTTATTAGTTGTTCTTCATTAAGAAAGTCTCTTTTTCAGTGACCAGGATCCAGCCGGACTTTTATTATTACCAGACAAGGGAAGTTTTGCAGACTTTGATATCAACCAGGTGCTGTCAGTCATGGATATTCTTCTGTTGGTAGCAGCAAGAGAGGTAGCTGTCTTTTCAGATCTTCTGCTTTTGCTTCTTTTCTGCACACTCTTCTGTAGTATTTGCTGGTCTTAAGGTATATTACGCACTAAGGGCCTAGAGTCAGTAGTTAATGGGACTGTTTACACGAGTGAAGTTATTCATGTGTGTCTGTACAATAAGGACCCCACCTAATTTAAATATCTTATGTCAAGTAGAAACAATACTTAGTAGAGAGAACCCAGGTGGTGTACAGAATGCGATTCCTTGGGGGATTTTTCCATCTGGACCAGTAGTAGTTCTTATCAAGCCATGGGAAAACTACTACTCTGCAATCCAGATTGAAAGGAGGGAGCTAATCATGATACTGTATGCTTAAGGAGTAAAAGGTTTTTTCATACATGAACATGATGAGCTTATATAACCGTGTGCAAAAAAACTGAGTCACAGATGCAAATCTGACTACTTAAAGACCTGTTTGGATATTCATTTTAATGAGAATTGTTAAAAACATTCCAAACATCACTTTTTTTTATGAAGTTCTTTTGGCCATCAGGAATTCACGCTCTCCTTGTCGCTCACTTTTCATCTGTCTTTCTGGAGGAAGAATCCATTTCCCTGGTTCATTGCCTTGTAATTTTGTTATGTTCTATCCCTTGAGGTACTTTTGTTGTATGTTTATCTTCCAGTGTGAAATGATGATGCTGGATATTGCCCAGCAGGAGAGTGGCACAGTGCTGTCTTCTTTATTCTGGTCAGTTCAAGGTAGCCTTCTTTCATGGTGTTACCTACAACTGAAGGGC